TAAACGATGACGATGTAAACGATGACGATGTAAACGATGACGATGTAGACGATGACGATGACGATGTAGACGATGACGATGTAGAAGATGATGATGTAGACGATGACTATGTAGACGATGACGATGTGAACGATGACGATGTAGAAGATGACGATGTAGATGATGACGATGTAGACGATGACGATGTAAACAATGACGATGTGGACAATGACCATGTAGAGGATGACGATGTAGAAGATGATGATGTAGACGATGACGATGTAGACGATGATGATGTGAACGATGACGTTGTAGAAGATGACGATGTAGACGATGACCATGTAGAGGATGACGATGTAGACGAAGACGATGTAGACAAAGACGATGTAGACGATGACGATGTAAACGATCACGTTGTAGAGGATGACGATGTAGAAGATGATGATGTAGACGATGACTATGTAGACAATGACGATGTAAACAAGGACGATGCAGACGTTGACAATATAGAAAATGACGATGTAGACATTGACAATATAGATGATGTAGACGTTGACAATGTAGACGATGACGAAGTAAGTGCGTGCGTGCCCGGGGTCCATAGGGTGTTTTGTGGTCTAGTGTTTTAATATTAATGACAAACTTACAGAAAACCAAAACCAAATACAGGAGCAGACATAATCCAAGGAGCAGCACAACGTGGCAGCAACAAGGAACCAGACTGAACAAGGACGGCTGACAGAAACGATACCTGGGACACACCAAGGCCAACTAAAACCATGTCGAGCAGGAAGGTGTCTAACTGGAACAAGTGGCATAGCTAAATAATCACAAACACAATCACAAATAAACTGAAACTAAACAGACACCATGAGATCATGTCATTATCAATTTTAATGTAACTTTTCAGCTCTAAACAAAAGTGAATAAACAAACAAACACTAGATTCAAGGCCTCTTTCTCTTGCGGTCAAACCTTTTATTCAACAGATGTGGTACAGCACATGTGTGACTTTTCTGACCAAAAGAAACTCAAACTTTACTTGAGGGAAGAAAACAAGGTCCAACACGAACACAGGTAACCCCTCAACATGTCAGTGCAGTGAATAAAGAATCAAGACTGAGCAGCATATTCACAACTCCAGGGAGGGCCTTGAGCGGTGTGTTGAAAGAAACGTTTTTTGAAGTTGGTCTCATGACGGCACAAGCTACCACAGCGTGGTGTAATTTAAAATATTTAGAAAATTATTTGATTGGAACTATAAATGTGTCTTCTTTTAATGTTTATTAAATAAAAAATAAAAGGAAACAGTTTGATTATGAGACTTGGCGTAAAGTGTGTGTGCCTAGTGCCCCCCAGGTCCACCCATAGCCACAGCAGTGACTTGTAACCCCAGCTATTATTGATTAAATGATACAAACCTAGCTAATAATGTAATTGTCTGATTGTAAATCTGATATTCAGGTTTGTAGTTGTAAACATCTGCACTGCTTCGTTATTCTTTGGTTTTAGTCCAGCAGTTGATGCAGCTTAAAGGTTGCACCTAAAACCTGGTTGGTTAATTAACTCAGCGTAGGGCTTGGCCTAACACAAAAATGACATCCCCTCCATCAGGCCTGGGCTTTGATCACCATAAGGCCAACTAATTAGAACAAGCTAGGTGATTATAACAGAAATAATCCTGAAGAGGTGAGAAAAAGCAAGCATGCACACACACACACACACACACACACACACACAGCTAATTACTGGCCATTTGAGATAATTACCTATAATTATCTGTAAGCTGGCGTTACAAATTCTGGTCCTGAGACACAAGGAGGAGGATGGAGGATCGTTGGGAGAGGGAAAGGTGATAGATGCAGAAATGACAGAAGGAAGAAGAATCAACACAGGTCTGAAAGAGAGGAGCTGTGGAGGAGGAGTAAGGAGGTGGAGAAGTTGGTCTGAAGCGCTGAGAGTGTTGACAGGTGTTTCTGTCAGCCGGGGTCAAGTGGTTGTGGAACTGCTTTCAGCAGAGGAACCTTGTGCATAATTTTCTTCCTAATTTGCAGAGATGACGCTGACCTCTGACACCAACAGAGGCAACGATCTGCTTTTTGATGGCACTGATGCTGCTTTCTTTACCAGTCCTTCCATTGACAATCCAGTACCTCAATACTGTCAGAAATGTACCTGAATAGACTCAGAGATAAAAACTCAGCATTGCTCCCTTGAGCTTGGCATTAGCTACAAGCTCTGACTGAATTAAAGAGCAAACATTCCTTGAAGGGATGCGTATCAGCCGGCACCTTTCATGCCAGAGGCCGTCACAAAAAACTGAAAAAGTATCTGTTTTGGTCAAATCTTGAAAATAACATAATGTAAGGTTGATAGAAGTAAATGAAGCAGGTGTTGTAGAAGGCTCAGCTTCCACCATGATGGAACTACATACCAGCCACGATGGGCTGAAGACGCTGGAGAACCAGCCAGGACCTCAGACCAAGTCAAATGTGAGACCATGCTCCACAGTTAGACCTGCTGAGAGTCTACCAGTCTGTTAGGTCTGCACCAGTAGCGATTTTAGACTCTTTTTGGGAGGTGCTCCAGCACCTCTAAATTTAAATTCAGCACCTGTGAACAACAAACAAACAAACAAACAAACAAACAGACAGTCATTAAGATTCTGTAAGGAAGTTTAGTTCTCAAACCTGAGATGTGTGGGCGTTCCTGGTTCACTGCTGTCCTGAGGTCACTAGATGGCGCCAACCTGTCACACCTGTGAGCCATTTCCCTGACAAGATGCCAGGAGCATAAAAGGCAGCAGATGACATCTCCTCGCTGCTGGAGCATTACATGCCAATGGTCGTCGTGCTTCTAGCATCTTTTGTGCTCTCTTGAATTGAGAACAACTTTCCAGTGTCCTTTGCATATTTCATCATTGCCCCTTGTGACTTACCTGTTCCTGAAGTCCTCTGTGAAACCCTGGAAAATCTCCTTGTGACCTCCTCACCTTCCAACCACACGCCCACCAGCGACTGTAGTCCACTCTGGATGTCTCCATGCCTGCACAGATATGATGGAACCTCTCCTCCTTGATGACCCAGTCTTCTGCCTGTAAGAACAAAAGACAATCAAACCAATTCCTGAAGTAATTCCACCTGACATCTCTCCTCAGGGTTCCTGATATTGACTGGGCCATCGCTCACTGATAAATTCCCTAAACGTTCTGCACAATCTTGAAGTCTGTTCATTTTCAGTCCTTGTCTCTGGTTATTCAGTAATCCTAACAAGATTCACCAAAATGTCGAATGAGTTTGAAATTTGAAATAAATGATGAAAGACTTAAACAGTTCAGCAAAATCAATGACTTTTTTTGCAGGTGTCAGATCCTCGCCTGGGCGCCTCCCTAGGGAGATGTTTCAGGCATGTCTGACTGGGGGAGACCCCGGGGAAGACCCAGGACACATTGGAGAGACTATGTCTTTCAGTTGTCCTGGGAACACCTTGGAGTCCTCCCAGAAGAGCTGGAAGAGGCTGTGGAGAGAGATGTCTAGACCTCCCTGCTCAAGATGTTGCCCCCGAGACCTGAGTCCAGAACAAGAGGAAGATTATGGATGGATGGATGGATGGATGGATGGATGGATGGATGGATGGATGGATGGATGGACGGATCCTCACCACTAGTTGGTGCCTCCATGACCGCCTCATTTAATTCAGGCATGATGGGTCAGTGGTTAGACAGATGGATGGACAGAGAACGATGGGGGACGACCCCCGAGTCAAAACACACAGCTTTGCTTCAAGAACTTTAAAAAAGGCTACAAATTAAAACCAGCACAATCAGATCTGTGCTGTTTTTACACAAAACTAAAAATGATTTTTACAAGTTGAATCGTGCACGAGTTTAAGGCGGGAAATCCCATTGCATGTGTTGCACAAGCACAGGTTTCATTCTGTACCTCAGAGCCTGAACAAACCCTCCCTCCCTTCAGCTTCTGGTCCCTTTCTCTGTTGGAAGCCTCCCACCACCTCCTCATCCGCCCACCGCCTCCTCGTCCTCCCCTCTTCTCCTCGTCCCTCCTCCTGGCAGGACAAGCCCTGTTTCTCTCTGCACTTGTCTCCTCAGTTGAAGAGGAACTAATTAGAGAGCAGCCAAGAGGAGCTGTTGATCAACTGGGCGCAGCGAGAGTTTCGTGCACTTTTCCTCAGCATGCCTCAGAAAGGTAAGCGTCCGTTTGCTTTCCTGTGACGTCTCTCAGCATCAGTCCAGCTGCAACAAACTACAAGAAGAGATGAAGCTGCTTTACAAACTCTGAAACTAATTATGTAAAGATGCAGGAGACTTCTCTTTCCTTTAGGATCAACTCACTAAATCACTGGGTGATTGTGGGCCTTCTGCTGCTTTGAACAGCACAACCACTGTGCTGCGCTTTAATGACTTTAAAAGTTAATAAATAAATATAAAGTAAATGATTTGAACAGCTGCGTTAAGTTCATTTCTTGTTTTGTGCTGCAGGACTTCACATTCAACGTTTAACTGTTCGTTCATCAAAACTCCACATTACAAAAGATGTTTGTCCAACAATCGTGTGTGTGTGTGTGTGTGTGTGTGTGTGTGGCCTTTTACATTTGAATTTATTCAAAATTATCGTTCTTTTCAGCTCCTCCTTTTTGTGCTTGTTGAACCATAAACCATAATTAAATTAATTATAAATGGAGCCACTGGTTCTGTCTTTCGACCCGGTATCAAACCACTGGTGTCTCCTGACGGGTGAAAAAAGGACCATTTTAATTAAATGCTTGAAAATAATTTTCTCTGTTTTAAAGGCTTTATTTGTACAAAAACAAGTCAGGCATAAAGTTCTTTTCTTTATTTTAATTTAGTACTTTTTGTAGTTGACTATATATATGTAGGCCAATATGTGTGTATATACATATACACACATATACAGTATATACATAATTAAATATAGTTATATAAAACTATATATAAGCACGGTGGTGCAGCTGGTAGAGCTGCTGCCTCTCAGCGAGCAGGTCCCTGGTTCAAACCCCGGTCCAGGACCTTTCTGGGTGGAGTTTGCATGTTCTCTCCGTGCTGCGTGGGTTTTCTCCAGGTACTCCAGTTTCCTCCCACACTCCAAAAACATGCATGTTAGACTGATTGGTAACTCTAAATTGTCCCTAGGTGTGAGTGAGTGAGAGAGTGAATGTTTGTTTGTCTCGATTGTCTCTGTGTGTCCCTGTGATGGACTGGAGACCTGTCCAGGGTGTCCCCCGCCCCTCCCACAGTGATTGCTGGACATGGGCACCGGCGACCCCCGTGACCCAAAATGGAATAAACGGGTAAAGATAATGGATGGATGGATGGA